ACACACACACACACACACACACACACACACACACACACACACACACTCTCAAAGCAATCAAATACTATAAAAGTGTGAAAACTTATTCCAGCTATTCATTTAAAGGTGGAAACTTTGGAAGGTGAATAAGATTAGACATCGTCAGGGTGGAATCCTCATGGATGGCATTCTGGTATCTTTACAAGAAGGACAGAGAACAGACAAGACACACATACATGGTCATCTCCCATCTCCTGTCATGCTGAAGTCCTGAGATTCCTTGGCATTCTGTCAGCAAAAAGGCCAACACCAGATTAGGGCATTTGAATCCCAAGAAGTGTGAGCTAAATAAACCTATTTTTTTTTAAATAAAGATACCCAACTTCAGATATTTTGTTGCTGTTATGCAAAATAAACTATTATGTCCCCTCATCAATAAAAATTAGGCTACATAATTTCCCTGACTGAAATCCTCATGGAATGATTTTTTTTTTAAATTTTTTGAAATAGGATTTCAGTATGTAGCTCTGGTAGTCTTGGATTTTGCTACATAAACCAGGCTGGCCTTGAACTCACAGAGAGCTGAGATTAAAGGTGTGGGCATTATCGCTTTTTAAAAAATTACATTTAATCATATGGAGGGGGGGATGTGCTTGGGTGGTGTGATAATGTGTTTAATACAGGTTTGGCCCTGGGTTTGATCCCTGTCACTACACACAGAAAAATGTCAACCCATGAACCTTTGAAGACATGCTAAAGCCATATCAGATGAGAATAAAATGCATAGAAGAGAAAAGCTATAGGAAACAACTGAAGAAAGTTAATTGTATATTCAATACTCAGAATGTCAGCCTGACTTCAGATGATGCTAAGAAAGAATGAAAGGGGAGGGTCCTAAAATATTAGGAGATAGAACTAAGTAAACGTGAATAAAGATAGGTGTCAGGTATGCCCCTATGATTTTGACTTAAGTGATTTGGTAAACAAATGTATCACTAAGTAAAAACATATGCTAGCAGTCATTAGTTGCCTACTATGTACCAGAAAACAGTGTGGTTCACTTTATATTTTATTATTTCTGTTTTCCTATTATGTTGCGTGATTGCTCTCAAGCTCTAAGTGTTTAGAAGCAGGCACTTTGGGAGGTGGTAGGATTAGTAAGGTTATGGAGTGAAGTCCTCCACAATACTTGCGATCATGGGTCTAGAGAAATATCAGATGTTATTAAAATGCAGTTCAGAACTGCAGTCTTTCATTGCAGAATGATCAGCTTTTGTTCTGTGCCTGAATGGAGGCTTTCTCTTGCTGCATCCTGAGCTCCATGGTTTCGACCTCATCCTCAGAGTTATCTCATGCATCTGTTTGAGATGTTTTCTGGGACAGAGTGTGGTCATATGTGTCAATATTTCCCCTCTTTACAAACAAGGAAAATGGAGCTCTGAAAAGTCAAGTAACTGACACAAGGCTCCACAGTAAGGAAGCTTGGGATTGGGATCTAGGTCATGCGGATGTTAAAGTCATCTGGACATGAGTGAGTATGAAGAAGGTGGAAGCGTGAAGTGGGTAGGGGGCATGTGAGGGGGCCACAAACAGAAAGACCTCCAAGTGTTCTGTCTTCTAATCACCTTACACAGATGTCTTGGCTGGACCAGCTTGAGGCTGCTCAAAGCAGCTACTTTAGGGCAGGGTAGGGCACAGGAGCAGGACTGTCATGAAGGGTCCCAGGGTCAGGCTATCCAGATCTGTTATTTGAAGCAAGTTATACCATCCTAAACCACATATTCCTTACTTCATAAGGCTATTTTATGATGAAATACAGAAACATTTAAAAAAGCATTCAGTACAGTGCATAGCACATAAGCCCTAGATAAATGTCATTTTAAGCCAGAGATAGTGGAGCACGCCTGTACTCACAGCTACTTAATTTCAGCTATAAAAT